AGATCACGCTGGTTTGCCCCTTGCCATTCTACAATGGAGAGGTTGCTTGGGATCCATGAGACAGCCAAGGACCTTGAACCTCATGCTCAGTTGCCCTCCCAACTGAATATTGTGCTTGAATATTCTACTTGTTTACTGTGGAATTGTGCTTGCATTAGACTGTTTAAATATTAAATAATGTTCTCTGCTAATCTTTATAAGTGGACTCTGAAATTTGCCTCCTAAAAGTTTGAGTCAACATCTCTTTTCACATTTAAGTGTCTGTAGAATGTGTGAATAAATGTTTATCCACAGTCACATTTAGTTACAATGAGTTCTAGGAATCTGATAGGATGGAATATTCATTCAGTTTTTATTTGCATGGAAACATATTTGTGAACAGATAAATATTTCAACCTTTAAAAAAAAGCTTGAAAAACAGTCTTAGTTTTTTTTTTGTTTGTTTGTTTTGTTTTTCCAGCAAAACAGGAATCAAACATAAATTGTAAACATGGAAGAGACTTCTAGAATTCATGTAATTTAGTTTAATTTATTGTGTGTCTACTATGGGGTAAGAACTTCTGGATACTGAGGGTACCTCAAAGAGTAAAATAGACAAAGTCCTTTAGGGGCTTACATTTTAGTGGAGGGATGCTAACGTTTAAAATATATAGTTTATCAGTAGAGGATACATTTCAAGGAGAAAATTTACAGCTGTGAAGGGAGATTTTGAGTGTGAGAGTTTGTAATTTAAATAGGTAGGTCAAGGAGGGCGACATTTGAGTAAAGATGTGAAAAGGTGATTTAGTTACTTAGATTGATTTAATTATCTTGCTACTAATCTCTTTTACTCTCATTTTTACAAATAGGACCGCTAAGAACCAGAGAAATTAAGTGATATATCCAAAATCACAAGATACCTTAATAAGGGACTGTAAAAAGAAATTTGGTCTTTTGTTGTGTCTAAAGAATGTTTTCCATTTAACACAAATAGGCTTGGAGGGCAAACACTTTTCTAATAAGGGTATTTAAATGGAACTGGAGTTTCAAATCTTCAACTCAAATTCTTCAACCTTCCAGCATTCTCAGATGTACCCTTCCCTTAGAGAGAGACAGAGAGAGAGAGAGAGAGAGAGAGAGAGAGAGAGAGAGAAAGGAAAGAAGAAGAGAAAAAAGAAAAATAAAGAAAAGAAAGCTCAGTCTTCTGATAGAATCGAATACCAAGTGGTCTTTTTCTCTTCAGCCTCAAAGACCACAAAGATCTCAGGAGGTCTTTCTCCAATTCCTGTTTCTGCCGTATTCTCTATCTCCTCTGTGGGTTTTACCTCCTCCAACAGTTATCGATCTGTACCACCATTTTGAGCCCAAAGCAGAATACAAACTTCTTTCCCTTTAGTTTAATGATAAAATAACAATACAATGTCAGTGATGTAGCAAGTTTTTCCTAAAGTTTGGGAGTAAAGAAGGAATTTATCTCCCAGCACAGCACAACAAAAAATATTTAAAATTAATTATTCACATTATTAAGATCTCATAAGCTCTTCCTTACACTGGGACATTTTTTGAGAAATGTTCATGCCACCAACCAGATTTTTGTGCCACTTCTTTGTCTTCACTCCTACAACAAGTCTCCAAAATCATTTCAATGAACTAAAAAGAAAAAAAAAATTAAAGGCCTGATTATTTGCAAGCAGAGTTCTTATATCTTCCCCACCTTCTCATCAGAGCGACTCTTTCTATATTCATGAAGATAGTAGCCAATCAAGAAGCCTCTGCTGTGGGCCATGGCTTTTATAGGTTACAGGAAGAGCAGAAGCTCTGGATTTGCAGTCTTTTCTCTTTTATGTTAAAATTTTTTAGCCATAGTTTTTTCCCTATTGATCTCTGTAAGCAGAAGTAAGCATTAGATAGAATTATCTTCTTCAGGATGGGAATTACTCAATTCCTCTTGGAAGACAGTAATGACTACAATTGCTTTACAGTTAGTTTTTTTAAGCCATAATTTCTGTTAAAGTATGGTTTGGCGTCACCAATTTGCCTCCTAGAAATTTGTTTGACAGGCTTGCTCCTTGAGAGGAAGCTCTATGGAGAGGACTGCTTTCACTATCTCAATCAAGCAGCTTATTCACATTGTGAGGAATTCTTAGAGCCATTCTTGATGATATTCATTGGACTGAAATATGTAAAAATTATTAAAGAAGATCAATTTTTCTGCGACATAGCTTTAATCTTGCTACTTCCTGGTTTAAAATAAAAACAAAACAAAGTAATAGCCATTTTCTTCTTTTACACCACTCCTGCTCCCACTGGCTTAGAGAACAGATGAAGGAAGGTAGCAATTTAGTGAAAGTCTACTCTTAAATGGCCAACGTTGTTCAGGTGTGTTTTCTTTTTCATCCCAGGCCAAATAACCCCAGTGTGCAGAGTTCACTCTTAGCAACATTGCAGCAATGGTATTTTTTGTTTCATTTTGTTTTGATGCCCTATTTTTCCAGTTCTTTACCTTTTTCTCTCTTTGGTAGCATTTAATATCATCAAACTCTTTCTTTCCCATTACAACTTACTCCATGCAAATTGCTGAACTATTTAACATTCCAGAGATTACTAATGTTAACAATTACAAATTTAACTTATTAAGCATGTGGGTAATTGAATAGCAGGACCTTTTTAAGGCCATGTGTATGTAACAGATGATGGTACTTGTATTCTAATAGGGGCTCAAGCCTTACACTAAGTGAGTCAAATACAAATGATGGTATGTGATGCACATGAGAGAGGGTAGAGGCGCTACAGGGATTTCTTTTTCTTTTTCTTTTTTAGACAGAGTCTCGTTCTGTTGCCAGGCTGGAGTGCAGTGTCGCAATCTTGGCTCACTGCAACTTTCACCTCCCGGGTTCAAGTGATTCTCCTGCTTCAGCCTCTTGAGTAGCTGGGACTACAGGCATGTGCCATTATGCCCAGCTAATTTTTGTATTTTTAGCAGAGACGGGGTTTCATCATCTTGGCTAGGATGGTCTTAATCTTTTGACTTTGTGATCTGCCCACCTTGGCCTCCCAAAGTGCTGGGATTACAGGAATGAGCCACCATGTCCAGTCAATGATACAGGGATTTATTCAGGTAAAAAAAACATTTTCCCTCCTTCTTCTCATATTAGCATTTATGATTTAGAAATGTGCTTCTAATTGATGAGGTCTTTGAATGTACCGGGTTTTTTTAATACTGAAAAGTTATAAATACTTGCTGCTGTGCCTTACAATCAGCATGAACTTTGCATGGAGTGAGTCTTCATGGAATTAAGAAGAGAATTTGAGGACAATGAATGCTACCAAAGGGAGAAAAGGGCAAATATGTAGAAAATATCTGAAAATTAAATTACTGAATTGATGCTGTGCCTTATAATCAACAAAACGTTGAAAGCAAGGAATACTTTCCTAAGAGGCATAAAGATTCCTTCACATCCCAGGTATTAACCACTCTGCTTCCTACTGCTTCAAAATTCAAAACTAATTGGAGTCATTTAGGTAATATTGTTTCTACACAAAGTTTAATTAAAACTAGCAGTACTCATTTACTCTTCAGTTGTACGCTTCTAGTATATAACCTTAGAACCTCATTGATGATAATGTTTGGAACCATTATTAACTTGACTTTTACAAGGGGGTTACATGTCTTGTAGATTGAATTTTAACAATTAGGTAGTGTAAACATTAAACTATAAAGTAGTCAAGTCTCTGAAAGCAAAATAATGTTCTGATTTTCTGCTGAGATCACTACAACGAAAACCTCATATATAATTGGAAAACCTCATGATATAAATAATTAAAAGCCCAGACTGAGGTAAATATATTAAAGACCAAGCTTTTCATTAACATTTATCATATCAGCTCTCAAAATTTAGCAGAGGAGTTGAAACACAGGACACAGACAGCTCTTGGGAGAGTCTTCATATTTTTAATGATAACTAAAAGCATATTTTAGCTGTCTAATTAGAACTTTCTGGGGTCTAATTCAAATTCATGAAGCAAAGATTTATTCAGTTATCCAGATGTAAAAAACAAAATTAGAGCATTTTTTTTGTTTGATTGTTTAGCTGGAAATATTACTGTCTTTGGGCATTAAGGATAATTTTAGTTTTCTTCTTTAAAATTTTTTTTTTTTTTATTTTCTACAATGACTATAATTTATTAGCTCTATGGAGTAGATCTTTGCTTCTCTCTTCAAGGAAATGGTCATTTGCAACAGCTGACAGACTCCTATAGCCAGTTACATAGAGATTCCCTAAAATAAGCAAGATGATGGCAGAGTACGAGATGAGTATTAAGGGAGGCTATGTTCTACCGGAGTTGGGGTGGAGAGGCAGCAAAAGCTTCACAGAGTAGAGAAAACTCACACTAGATCTTATAGAATAGACAGGTTTTGTAGAGGTAGGGATGGAGAAGGCCACTGAAGAAGGAGGAGAAGCATGAAGAAAGTTAAAAATTGTGCTGGTACTTTGGAACAATTGACAGAATCTAACGAGAGCAGAAACAGGAATTTATAACTGGATTGTTACCTTCCTTCTCTCATTTGTGCTGGTCCTACTTTTAACTTAGCCAGTGAGTACAGTTATAGTAACCTGGTGAAAATAAGACAAAGACAAGATAAAGTTGAGGGCTATAAATAATTTATTAATAAATGGCAAATCCATTTTTCTGCGTCCTAGAAGAAAGAAAAACTGTGATGTTCAGGAGTGCTCTGATAACAGCCAATGAGATAGATATTATTACCTTTAATTTTACAGATCAGGACAAAGAGGGTCAGGAAGTTTGAGACTCAAAGACCTGGTAAGGTCTTATTATCCCTGTGTTTTAGGTGAAGTTCAGAAATGTTAAAAGATTTATGAAAAGTATCACAGCTTTCTCGTGGTTGAGATAGGACTTGAGCAAAGATCTCTGGATTCCTAGTCCTTTGCTCCTTTCCTTTCACATCCACTGCCTCCGACAATTGCAGGCACACAGTCTCCACTCTCCCTTTCTCAAGAGGAAGACACTGCTGAGGGCTGTGTTTGCATTTTACAGATTCCATCTCACTAATTAAACATGCTGAGGTGGTCAACTTTTACCAATTCTGTGTTTCCCAGTAATGTTTAACCTTAAAAAAAAAAAAAAACAACTAGGAGATAAAACACCATGTTATCTGGCCAGTCCATTCCACCCCCAGTGATTATTAATTTCAGAACATATCTGAGTTCCTTCTCCGTGGCATATGCTTTAGGAGAAGAACAGACAGCTCTTAGCCAGGGTCAGATTTCAAATTCTCGTCTCTTGGTGCCAATACCACCACCAGATTCTTCTTTGTAGTCAACTTTTGAGATCTTCGCTAAGTACACCTTGGTGTCTGAAGATTCACACAAGTGCCTCTGGTTATAATTTTCTTCAGGGAATCACAGTCTCTCCTCTCAGCAAAGCATACACTGTACGGAACTTTGCTTTTGGAAACATCTTCCTAAGATCTGGTTGAAAGAAACTCTCTGGTGCCATACGTTCCACTATGGAGGTGAAGAACTTTGCAATTTGGGATTATGTCGTATTTGCAGCCCTCTTTTTCATTTCCTCTGGAATTGGGGTGTTCTTTGCCATCAAGGAGAGAAAAAAGGCAACTTCCAGGGAATTTCTGGTTGGTGGAAGGCAAATGAACTTTGGCCCTGTTGCCTTGTCTCTGACAGCCAGCTTCATGTCAGCTGTCACCGTCCTGGGAACCCCTTCTGAAGTCTACCGCTTTGGGGCATCCTTCATAGTCTTCTTCATTTCTTACCTATTTGTCATTGTCTTAACATCAGAGCTCTTTCTCCCTGTGTTCTACAGATCTGGTATCACCAGCACTTATGAGGTAAGATAATTTCTCCATTCTTCTCTATTTCAGCAGAGTTGCTATGTTTTTCTTGACTTGAACTATTTTTGTTGTTCTGTTTTTTTTTTTTTTTTTTTTCTTCTCCTAATGATAGCACCTGGTAATTGGAGAGCACTCTCTGATTTGCAGGACAATTATACATTAAGAGAAAGAAATAAAATATTATTGTAAAAAAGCCTAAGCTTTGGAGGCAGAAATATCTATTTTCCCATCTGTAAAAGGAAAATAATGATGACAATCCCACATGGCTATTTTAATGATTAAATGAGAACTTCTATGTCAGCACTTGATATATGGCCTCGTTTGTAGGTTTGCAACAGAGGACTGATGTTATTTTTTATTATTAGGAGCATCATCATTCTGAAAAGCAAACAGAATATCTATCATGAGTATGGCAATTTTCCAGCTAAGAAAACTGAGATACAGATAAATGACTTAGTTAAGATTTTTTAATAGTAGACAGACCTGAGAAACTTATTTTTTCTCTATCTCTACTTAGTGGCCTTTCCCTCAGAGAGTAGAGGGCATTTTAACACAAATTATAATGAGACTCTAATTTTTAATGAGAAAATGGTCATATTTTTGAAAAATACAAAAAGTATTTTAACAGGAAGGAACTGACATATCATACAAATATGGGAATTATTTAATAAGAGGGAAATGAGGCAGTGGTGTTTTGACTTTACAATGATTCTCAGTGAAGACACCATGTTCAAAATTGAATTTGCATGCTCAATATAGAAGTGTAATCAAAAATAAGTTTCTACTAACAAGGTGTTTATTTTCATCATCCAATATCATTCCTACTAAGTCACTGCAGAAGACTCATAAGAGATCCAATTTTTTAAAAAAATCTGTAAGCTAAATGAGTATAAAACATTATTCTACCCTTCAAAAGCCACTCATGGAAATGAACACTTTTTAAGAAGTCTTGAAAAATGTTATGATTCCATAGTTTTATGGAATGTAATTTTTATGACTATTTACTCAGTAAATATTCATTACGCTTCTACTGTTAAGATACTTAAAAAGGCACTCCTCTTTTTTTTTCATTATTTATTTATTTACAAGATGGAGGTTTTGCAATGTTGCCCAGGCTTTTCTCAAACTGCGGGGCTCAAATGATTCCTTTAAATTAGCCTCCCAAGTAGCTGGGACTATAGGAGCATGCCACAATGCCCAGCTTGTTTAGGCATTCTTGTAGCCCTAGGCATAAAGCATAGCACTAAGTTCCTGCTGTCATGGAGCTTGCTTCATAGCAGAGAAGGGCAGTCAATACATATACACTGTGTAAGAAAAACCATAATACAAATGAATATGGTATTTATGTGCTAAATACTTCTCTAAGTTCCTTATGTGTGTTAGTCATTTAGCCTTAAAACAATCTTTTTTAGATAGATACTATCATCTCATTTTAACAGACTAGAAAACTGAAGTATGTAGCATTAAGTAACTTGCTAAGTGACACACAGCTAGCAAGTAAAAGTTTGTCAAACCAGGCAGTCTAAACTTTAGACATCATACACTAAATAACTATGCTGTCCCATCCTACAAAGAAAAAAAAATGGAGAAAAAGTAAAGTAAATAGGATAAGATAGAGAGAGGGAATGCTGGTATGAGTGGGGAATGATGGTATGTCCACATTCATAGAGGGTGATCATATGAAGCTTCAAATATAATAGGACATCTAAATGGAGACTGGAAGAAAGCGAATAATTGTGCCAGATAAGGGAAATACATCTCAGGCTGAAGGAGTCACAGATGCAAAGGCCCTAGAAAAGGAGTGTGACTGGCAAGTTGAAGGACAGCAAAGAAATCAGTGTGCTTAGAGGAGAGAGAGCAAAGGGGACAATGGTAAAAGATGAGATCAAAGAGATAGGTGTGCCCAGTTACATACAGCAGGGGTCTCAGTAGGGCTAGTGCCACACAGGGGAAGCACTTGGGATATTTGTGGAATATTTGTTTGTCAAAATGATTAGGGGCCACTACTAACATTTAGGGAGCTGAGGGCAGAGACACCAGATGGCTCGCAGTGTGTAAAGGCACATATACAATGAATAATTTCACCCTGCACTGCATGATGTTTAATGCTGTTATGTTCAAAAACTACTGCAAATATTAGTATTACTTTAGTGCATAGTAACTTTACAATAAAAAGTTATAAACACACTATAAATTAGTACATTTTCCAGAAATTAAATGAATAAAAACAGTGTCTTAAAATTATTGAACAATTTACTTAGTTTGAGCAATCTGTCTATTCCATATATGCTGCTCAATACATGCTTAGCCGTAACTGGTTTTAGTAAAATGGCCCAGTTACTGCAAAAACAACTAAACCAATTGCAATTATATAACTGAGGAGATTTGATTCTCTTTTTAAATTAATAAATTAGTACAAGTATTGAAGATATAAGGACTTCGCTGAATTTAATTTACAACATTGTTTTTTAAAATATTTACCATTTTTGCTCCTACATATTTTTAAATTTGTAGTGGCCTAATAGTAACTCATCCGAGTATGTAAAGTATACATAAGGTTATTTTGGGATTACCTCTTGCTTTATAAAAATTGGCATTACGGCATGCAGGTTAGAAGTATGGACTCTAGGCTGGGCATGGTGGCTCACACCTATAATCTCAGCACTTTGGGAGGCTGAGTTGGACAGATCACCTGGGATCAGGATTTCCAAACCAGCCTGGCCAACGTGGCAAAACCCATCGCTACTAAAAAAAAAAAATACAAAAAAATTAGCCAGGCATGGTGGCACGCACTTGTAATCCCAGCTACTCGGGAGGGTGAGGCACGAGAATCACTTGAACGCAGGAGGTTGCAGTGAGCCTTTGAGATCTACTGCACTCCAATCTGGGCAACAGAGTGAGACTCTGTCTTAAAAAAAAAATATATGGACTGTAAGCTTTGTTGACTTGGCTTTCAGTGTCAGCTCTGCTACTTGCTAGTTGCATGACTTTGGCAGAAACTACTTAACTTTTCTATACCTGGTTTTCACATGTGTAAAATAGTGGTAATACAAAAATCTATCTCAAAGGATGTCTGTGAGGAATAAATGATGTATTATATACAAATAGTTTAACAGGGCCTGGCAAATGGTAAATACTATGTAAGAGTGTTGTATTATTATGATTATTGTTGTTGCTATCTCCAAATTTATAACACTTAGTCTGTCTACAGTATCTTGAGTTTCTTTCTTCAGCCTCCGTTCCCTGTTACTTATTGAAAGATATCCATTCCAGCGTCTTTTTAAATACTAAAGCCTTAAAGAGGTAGAGTCTCTTTATCCACCTTGTGAACCTTGGCTAGTTTTGTGACTTGCTTTGACCATTAGAATGTAGCCAAAGTGATGTTCTGTGAGCTTGGAGCCTAGTCCTCATGAGCCTTGCAGCTTCTGCCTTTGTCCTCCTGGTACTGCCGTTGTCCTCCTTTGTCCTGCCCTGATACTGCTATGTCAGGAAGCTGGCATAGCTTCAGGAGCATGAGTGGACACATGGAGAACAGAGACATTCAGCCAAGAGCCAACACCAGTTACCAGACCTGTGAGTGAGACCATCTCAGACCTTTCTTCATTGATCTTCCAGGTTATTAGAGCTATATGAGAGTCCTGATAAAACCAGAGAGATCACTCAGCCTGTCCTCGGAGTTATGAGAAATAATAAATTTTTGGTTTTTGAGCCAATGAGTTTGGGGGTGGGTGTCACATAGCAATAGCCTGCTGATTTAAATGCCTTGATATGTGGTGGGATTTCAACACTAAGATAGGCCATCTGTGCTACTTTATCACCACCCTGTCGCAAATCTAAGCATAAGGAATTCTTCTAACCCTCAAGTGATAAATTAGGCTTAGCTCATTTGCAATATCATATATTTTCATTATCTCAATTGCACAGATTATTATTAGTCTCATAATATTATCTTCACTTTAATTAAAGCTATTTCATTCCTTCTCTTACCGTACACTATTATATCCAGTTTATTATTTACCTAACTTAATATTGGCTTATGGCCAATGCCTACCTGTTTTCTCATTTTTCTTGGACTTCATGGCATCTCAATTACTTCTCTTCATTTTCAGATTTTCATTATGATAATGCCCAGGCTACTACTTCACTATGTCTTCTTGCACAGTGGTTTCTGGGCATTTATACCTTACATACATTTTTTTTTTCATAAATGCTTTCCTTTTAGTTCTCCTTTAAATGACAGTGGTGGTATTCTTAGTAATTATATTTATATTTTGAGAAATACGATATTTATCTATAAGATATTATTGAATATTATTTTAGGAGAGTAAATGGTGCTGTAAAATATTTGTTGTAAAAGAGATATTTAGGGTCTGAACCAAAATTATGAGACCTTTTAGGTCATCATAGGGATTAGCTTTTACTCTAGAAATGATGGGTCATTTCAGTGTTTGGGAAGAGAAGTGACATGATGAGATTTGTATGTTAAGAGTAGATTACTCTAGCTATATAGTAAGAATAATTATAGGACTTTTACTGCTGAAGCAGGGAGGTAATTGGGAGTGTTCTTACATAATTGGGTAAGAGATAATAGTAATAGCGTGGTAAGAGAGTATGTATGCAGGTAAATATATTTTGAAAGTAGGGGACAAGCACCCAGATTTCTTTTATGAATTAGATGTGGGGAAGGTGGGAAAGAGGAGTAAAGGCTGGTTATGTGTCATTTGGGCTCGAACCAACCTGAAAAGTAGAGTTGGTATTTCCTGAGATGGAAAACAGTATGGCTGGATCAAGTATGGGGTTCTGAAAATAATCCATCATAATGTTGGTAAATGTCACATCAGATATTTTTACAAGAAGGCATGAAGCATGCAACTTCTCTGTTGCATTTTTACTTTTGACAATAGGAATAACTTATATATATGCCAATGATGATCACTGAATGAGTAAATACATTGAAAGGAAAAGTGGATACATTCTTTCAGATATAGAGTTATGCATTTGTAATAGTCTTTCTTCTTTCACATACGAGAATCCTGAGGCATAGATCACAGAATAAGATACCAGCAAATCTCAAACTGGAATTCAGGGAGACTGCTTTCTAAATAGGCCTTTGTTCATATAGATTTTCCCCAGTACTGTCTTTATAATTTTACTGGGTTGACTGAATTGAGTGGCATTTAACTGAGATGTGAAAATCATTGATTTTTTTTAAGATCTCTATAGCAGCATCCTCGTGACTTTACCTTTTTCAGGATTCATTGCCCCTTAGGTTTTCCAGGCTTCCTTGTGCCACCCAGTACCAAAACTAATGCTATATAGTTTTGGTTTTTGTTACTTCTCCCCACTTCTAGTACCAATCCTTGTATTCATTGTTATCTATCGCCATGTAGCATACTACCACAAGATAAATGTCTCGAAATAACTATTTTATTTTATCACAATTCTGTAGATTAGCTATTTTGCCTGGCTCAGATGGGCCCCATGAAATTGGGCTGGTCTCATTTGGGGCCATGTATGTGACTTCTAGAAGGTAGTATGTTGGCTACCATCTTTCTGGCCTAGGGGAATGCAAATGAGACAGCTTGTCCTTGTTACCTTTGGTCTCATCCTCCAGTAGGCTATCCTGAGTTCTTTATGTGATAGAAAAGAGTTCCTATTAGAAAGAGAACATACCTCATTACAGAAGCGTTTTCAAAATCTTTACTATAAATTTCTCTGTCTTAAGTTGCATTCTGCTAGAAGCAGATTCTGAAAGAAGGATTTGAATGCAAGTTGATTTGGGGGAAGTGATTCCAGTAAGCACTGATAGACAAGTGGCAACAAGAGACGTAGAAGAAAAAGACACCAACAAAAAATGTAATTTTGAGCAGGTTGTACTGTGAGCAATAGGGGTTCAATCCAACTGGGAGTCTCTAAGAGACAATATAAAATGTGTCTCAGGGTTGTCCTCACTGAAAGGTAAAAAGCCAGGGTATTTTGTTTCCAACTCCATTTAGTCATTGGCTAAGTGCTGATGATAACACCCCCAGGCCCTTCTGATCTGCCCTGTGACCCAGTGCAAAGGCTCATAACAGTCTCAAGCAGATAACCTCAGGCACATTTAGATGCCATCAACAGGTACTGGAACAGTGAGTGCCAATAAACTATGGGTGTTGCACCCTCAGTGACCACTGCAGTCATTAATCCCTAGCTCTGTACTTGGCATTGGCATACCTCCCACTATTTGATCCATACAAACATTCACTTTCAGAAGAGAAAACCATGGCTTAGTGGCAGAAACTACTCTTCCCATGGGCATAAGATGTGAACCCAAGTTGTCTTTACCAAAAACATTTTGCAATGTTTTCTATCTAATGATATTTGAGACTGCTGACTCCTCACTGACTTCCCTTCCTCTGTAATAACATTTTCCTTACATCTGGTGCCCTCATTCACATATTCACTGGACTATACATTCTGGCTCACAGAATATATCAGCTGAAGAGAGGGCATAAAAATAAGGTTTTTTTGTTTTGTTTTGTTTTGTTTTTTTGTTTTACCTCAGGTTTGGGAGAATCTGACAGGATAAGTTGAGAATGTGACTTAGTGTAAAATGGAGTCACAGTTCTGCCAAGAGATGCCCTCTGTTTCAAAGAAGGGCCCATAGTAAGCCATGAAACATTTACCTAGTGTTTCCAGGGAAAGGATAAATCGGCTAACAATCCTTGATTTAATCAAAATGATTTTTTTTTTTTAATTCGGAAAAGAAAGAACTATGAAGTAGAAACTGCTAGCAAGAAATTTAATCCTCAAGCCATTTAATACTTTAAAAATTAATTTTGTTTATTCAATACATGTTTATTATGCACTGAAAGACACATGCTAATTTCTTCTAGAATATTTACTTTCCTTACCTCTAAAACAATAAATCAGATCCTACTATTTAACAAGTTCACAGCTACCTGTAGCTCTTATAGTACATATCACAATTGCAACTTTACTTTTATCAGTATAAATATTTGTTAATGGTCACTTCTTCTAATCTGTAAGATCCTCTATGCTATGGACTCTGTTATATTTGCTAATCATTTTGTGTCAGAATGCAATATGTAAAGCAGGTAACAAATATTTGTTGAATGAATGAATACATAAATGATAAAGATAAAAATGAATAAAATAGAATGGTATTTGTATGTATCAGGGATGGCAAATGCGGCAGGCTGAAAGCAACATACCTTCCCCAATATATATCCAGGTGTAATCCCTGAAAGCTGTGAATATTACTTAACATGTTTTTTTAAAAAAGGATTATTGCAAATGTGATTAAAGGATTTTGAGGTGAGAAAATTGTCTTGGATTATCCAGAGGGGGCCTATATAAATACAATCCACATGTATCCTTATACGAGGGAGGTTGTGGGAAATTTGAAAGGCAAAAGGAAAGGTAATGTAACTATAAAGGCAGAGATTGGAGTGATGGAACCAGAAGCTAAGGACTGCCAGCATCCACTAACAACAGGAAGGCAGGAAGCTGACTTTCCCTAGAGCTTCCTGTAGGAGCCTCCTGCTCACATGTTGATTCTGACCCAGTGAAATTGATTTTTAACTTTTGTTTTTCAGAACAGAGAGGTAATAAGTTTCTGTTGCTTTAAGCCAAAAAATTGGTGGCAATTAATTTGTACAGTATTAGCAACAAACGAATACAGTGAGATAATCAAATTCAATACCGAAATACAACATAACAACTGAGAACCATGAAAATGTCTTAATATTAGTGCCATATGAGCTCAGAGGAGAAAGTATGAGCAGGGCTAGGAATAGCAGTGGGGCTGATGCTTTCATCCATGATCTAAGCCTTGAGTTTCTCATCTGTGAAAGAAGAAAGACTGTTTCAACTGCATAATTTGATATCTGAAAGAATGTATTGACTTTTCCTTCCATCTGTTGACAGATGACTAAGACTTTGTGAAATTTGGGGAGAGTGGCTCTTATATTAAGAATTCTGACTAAATGAAAGAAAGGTCTGAAAAAGCACACAACATGTTAGCTGAATGATAAATAATAATTATAGGTGGAGAATAAATTATGTAAAGGTTAGTGATATGATTTAAGAAAGGGAGGGTGGGGGTCTGACAATGGAAGGTTTTGAATATCAAGTCTGGGATGTGCACTTTGTTTTGTCAATGACAGAGAATCATTGAAGAATTTGAGAAAAAGAGCAATATGATCAGAGCTCTGCTTTAAGGGAATCGATATGGCAGATATGTGGTTGATAGGATGAATGGGCAAAGATTGGTATTAGGGAGATCAGTTGGAGTGCTACAGCAGCAATCCAGAAAAGAGAAAATAAAGGATTGAGCTGAATTTGGAGCAGCAGGGATATAAAAGGAAATAATGGCTTCAGTGGGTCCACTAGGAAGACTCTTGGGCAGAAAGTCAATAGAGTTGAATTTTTATTCAAACAACTCACTTCTCTTCTCTGATCATCAGGAGAAGCAGGAACAAAAGTTGAGTTTTAATAGATCTTTGGCTTTTAACAATCCATGCTTTTTCAGTACTGTTGCTTCTAAGGATACATATCACAAAATCAGATTACAAGTCTAAAGCACAACAGAGGATATACCAAGATAAAAAGGACTTTCTTATCAGCTCTTATCTAAATCTCACTGACTCTGCATGTCTTTCTGTTTCCTTTAGTACTTACAACTACGATTCAACAAACCAGTTCGCTATGCTGCCACAGTCATCTACATTGTACAGACGGTAAGAGGTCATGGCTGCTGCAGATGTAGGAACTGTGAGGTTACAAGATATAGGTTTGTTTATTTTGGGGGCAATAAACTCAGATAAAGGACACTTAATACTAAGAAGACACTACTTTATTCCACAGATAGCACTTTTAATCTGTGCTAAAAATAAGAAACAAATGTATATTGTAAACCACAAAGGGAAAAGAAAAAAGCTTCGTGTGTGTGTGTGTGTGTGTGTGTGTGTGTGTGTGTGTAAGCCACCCACATTTTCTTAACATTTATTTCACTGCTGTTTAACCTGTAAATGTTGCTCTAGATTAGATATGAAATGATCAGGTAACTAGATTTGTTTGTGTCTTTGTTTTGTTTTTTAACCATTAACTGAGTTGAAGCAGAAATGCCTATTTTGCTGAAAGTCATTTTAAGACAATATTTCCTACTTCCCTCTCTCCCCTCTTATGAACTCTTTTCCCACCCTCCCAGCTTTGGGATGTCTTCATGCTGCTCCAAATTTTCCCATGGCACGGCTTTGGTACACTTCCTTCTACTCACCAAGTACTTTCTGCTAGAAGATAAGCTTCTTCCCTCTTAATAAAAACTCCTACTCACTAGCTGAGGAATTTAGGCAAGAAAATAGAGGAAAACAATGCTCCTGGATCTGCCTATAGATAATTGCCTTTTAAAACCTTAATGTGAATCTCTACATGGTGAAATTCCCAATAAAAACTAGAGAAATTGGACCTATTTTGAGCAGGGTAGTGGTTACAATTCTGGGAATTAGAAGATATATTCATTACGGAGATCACCCACCCATCTTGTTAGTCTTCCCAGCACAGTACTTTCTCCTTGCAGATTCTTACCATCTCACTTCTAAATTCCATATTTCATCAAACTGCTGAAATATGCTTCTGTCCCATGAAGTCAGTAGAGAGTACATTTTGATGCGTGTATGAGGAAAATGGGTAGAAGGAAGGTGAATGAAAATTAAGTCTATTTTTGTATCCCTTAGAGATATACAAAATATAACCATAATATCTCAAAATTTGTAGCAATTTTGAAAATCCAGCCCTCTTCTACCACCTAATGATTACATCCCCTCTACAAACTGCTGACAGTGGTGAGCAATGTAAAATTTAGAGTGGATGGGAATGCGATGTTTGATGAACAAGTTGAAGAGAATACAACGCTAATATCAATAAAGAACTTTCTAGGTAGTTTTCCTTTCTATGTCACTTTCTCACTGCCCACCTGATTCTTGTTTCTCTACCAGATTCTCTACACAGGAGTGGTCGTGTATGCTCCTGCCCTGGCACTCAATCAAGGTGAGTTATCAACATTCCCTTGGCGTATCTTACCATTTTTATGCCTGAATTCTCACCTTGTAGAATTATAAATAAAATACTTTGTTAGGGAGATATTCATCTGGTAGTTCTGAATTACTATTAGAAGTCATTACATGAAGCTCTAAACATTGATTGAACATTGAAAATAATACAAACAATTCGTTGGTTTTGATTCACATACTTCTAGATACCAATTTTGATTGCTTTTGTTTGGGATTTGGTTTTTGTTTTCCAATCACTGGAATTATGGCAGTTTTGGTATTGTATATGTCACTAATTATGTTTATCTATAATATATGGATTTTAGTGATCGCATGAAGTACATAATCCAGTGTAAGGGTAAAAGTTGCTTGCAATAGTTACATTAAAATTTATAGTTGTTACTTTCAAAACAATAGAATGCTAGAAACAAAAAGAAAGAAGTGAAAGTAAACTTCACAATGGTACCTGTCATATTGAAAGTTCTCAGTATTGCATTTAATTGGGCTATGTGCTTATATTGAGAAATATTAATCTCAGAGTCAGTGAGGTTTAGATAAGAGCTGCTAAGAAAGTCTTTTTTATCTTGATATTCTTCGGAGTTTTGTGCTTTGGACTTGTAATCTGATTTTATGATATGCATTCTTACAAGCTACAGGAATAAAAAGGCATGGATTGTTAAAAGTCAAAGATCACTGGTCATTAGAGAAATGCAAATCAAAACCTCAATGAGATACTATCTCATGCCAGTTAGAATAGCAATCATTAAAAAGCCAGGAAACAACAGATACTGGAGAGGATATGGAGAAACAGGAACACTTTTACACTGTTGGTGGGAGTGTAAATTAGTTCAACCATTGTGAAAAACAGTGTAGTGATTCCTCAAGGATCTAGAACTGGAAATACCATTTGACTCAGCATCCCATTACTGGGTATATGCCCAAAGGATTATAATAATTCTACTATAAAAATACATGCACACATATGTTTATTACAGCACTGTTCACAATAGCAAAGACTTGGAAGCATCCAAATGCCCATCAATGGTAGACTGGATCAAGAAAATGTGGCACATATACACCATGGAATACTATGCAGCCATATAAAAGCATGAGTTCATGTCCTTTGCAGGGACATGGATGAAGGTAGAAACCATCATTCTCAGTAAACTAACATAGGAACAGAAAACCAAACACTGCATGTTCTCACCCATAAGTGGGAGTTGAACAATGAGAACACATGGACACAGGGAGAGGAACATCATACGCTGGGGCCTATCTGGGGCTGGGGGACCAAAGGAGGGATAGCATTAGGAGAAATATCTAATGTAGATGACAGGTTGACGGGTGCAGCAAACCACCATGGCACATGTATACCTATGTATACTAGGTACATTCAATAAAAGGATTGTTTTCCTACAAACAAAATGTCAAAGAGGTATTAAAAATCAATTTTTGTTCAAATTTCTCATGATGGTTAGAGAAGAAAAGTGGGTTGTTTGCATAAAAATTCAAATGTACTGGATTTCTGCCCAAAAATCTTCCCAGTGGACCCTCTAAAGCCACTACTTCCTTTTATATCCCTGCTGCAGGGATGACGTTTAGGTGGTTTCAGAGTTCTCAGACTAACTTTGTTGAGAAAAACAGAAACTCAAAAACAAAGAAAACATTTGGATCAAAGATTGGAAGCTATAAAATCTTAGGAGGAAAAATTTGAACATTACATGAAATTTATTGACTAGCTAGAAGTATAAAAATATAATAAAAATAATCTTTCTCAAAGGTGAGAAAATTTAATGAGGGAAAACTCTGATTTTATTTTTGCCTACAAAGAACACTGATGAAAATATTTTGTCTTCTTTCCTCATAAAACTTGCTCTTTTAAGTTTTTCAAGGAAACTTCTTTTAATACTGTTTTTCTCCTTTCCTAGTGACTGGGTTTGATCTCTGGGGCTCTGTGTTTGCAACAGGAATTGTTTGCACATTCTACTGTACCTTGGTATGTATCTAGCTGTGAAGAAGTATTTAACACTACCTCGTAATATGGGGTAAGGGCAAATCTCCAGCAGCAGGCATCTAATTATAGCAGACTTTGCTATTCCAAAATTAAGCAGAAGTATGTCAACTTATCTGTCATAGTTTCCTGAGGAAGGTGCTGTTGTTTAACATTCTTTTCATTACCAACCTTTAAGAAAATTTAATCTCTGCACTCATTCCAGAAAATTATACCTAATAAGAAAAAATCTAATGAAAAAAGGTCTTACTGATTAGAGAATAGATGGCCCTATGTTACTTCTGAGAAAAAGAGTTTTTCATTCATAGCCCTCATAAACCATAGGAGGCAGTTATACTTTACACTTTATACTTCACTGTCTACTGTTTGAGAATTAACAAAATGTATATACAAGTGAGCAATGATGGCTGGCATTTTATAAACTTGAGGGTTTCACAGCTTGTTTTGTCTTGTATTTCTGGATAAGCCTGGATTACATTTACCATTTGGCTTTACACATGCTCTGTTTTTAATTAAGCAGCCTGAGTGGTATTGGCAGCATGTTTATGTAATTAATACAATTATATGTAGTTTAGTTCAACAGACATTCATTGAGCACCTATTTTTTGCCCAAACCCTGCAACTGTAATCTTTATTCTTCTGAGTCATTGTACCATGTACAGGCCATAATTAACCAGTTAAGCATATGGCAGTGGTTCCCGGACAGTTGAATTCTCTTTCCTACTCTATAGATTAAAATTTTAAAAATTAATATATTTTCATATAGCAGATGATTCATGTATTTTGGTGTTATGTGCTATCACTTACTCTTTGTAACATCTATTCTGATTATATACAATTTTAAAATACCTTGATCTCTCTTTTTCATACTTGCAAATCCCATTATTTCTTTGCACTTAGTTTTATCTTCATTTTTAAAAATTTCATTCTTATCATATTCCTATTCCAGACACACAACTCTTCCCACCTATTCTAAAAAAATAAAATCTTGCTCCTCTTACCTCTGACCTCATGTAATAGATTAGTTGCTCTGAGGTACCTGCCCAGAGAAGGGCAACTAGATGCTGGATATAACCATTTTTAATGCATTGTTTGCCTTGAAAAAGATATCAGAGCTACCTAAGTTTTCTCCCCCCAAAAATAAATTTTAAAAAATGTATAAAACAATTTAAAATGTATGAATTATCAGGGCTATTTGGAAGGAGTGTGGTGAGTAGACAGGATGGATGGGGCTGACTAGAAGGCAGGTGCTGATAACAGGACTACTATTAAGATATTGCAACTTGGGTCAGTGAAAATGTAGAGAAGCTAAGCTTGGGACAATAACATTAAGCTAGAATCCTTGAGGGGAGCTAACATGGCTTTACTTCAGTGATACACTTCAGCTTTTGTGAGGAAAAAGGTGCAAATCCTCTATGGAGGAATAATGCAACCTAAGAATATAAGATATTTACACCCAGATAAAGATCTAACAATAAGTTTAATAAAATATCACTAAAAATACAAAATAGCAATATACCATGAGTGAGGATCAGCAAAACAACAAACAAAATTTAGCCTCACAAGAACAGAAAATTTTGGTATTAAAAGATACTGAATAAAAGAACAGATATGCATAAACAACTTAAATAAATAAGGAATGTAATTTCTGGGATGAGTAAGCATCAGGAATGACTGACCACACAATATAATTATTATGATAAAGATCAAACATATTTGGAGAGACAGTCTGTATGATGGAAACTCTATCCAAAGAAACAACCTAAAGAATAACAGAGAAACAAGAAGATGAAAAAGTGAAATGGAAATGGAGACATATGGTGGACAAAATAAGAAGGTCTAATTCACGTCCAATTGGAGTCTCAGAGGAGAATACAGAGAAAATAGAGGTGAGGCATGTTTCAAAAAATTATGGCTTGCAATTTTTCAGATATGATCAAAGATAGCAATATACAGATTTAGAAAGTGTAACCTTAAAGCATAAAGAAGAAACAATAAGTTTAAATGTAGATACACTAGTGAAACTATAGAACAGCAAATACAAATGGAGGACCTGAAAAAGAGCCAGAAGGGAGAGAAAGAGATACTTAAAAAGGTACACTTAGCAACAACAATGGAAGCCAGAAAGAGTGGAAAAATATATTCAAAGCATTGAGGAAAAACAAGTCCAGACCCAGTCATAATTGTGTTTTTGACAAAACTATCTTTCAGGAGTTGAATGTCAAGAACCAGAAAGAATTAACACTTGCAGAACTTCCCTAAAGAAAAATCTAGAGGTGATGCTGTGGGAGAAAGGGAAAACATTACAATATGACAGTTTTAAACAGAAGAATTGATAAGAAAATAAAAGAGTAACCATTAGCAAGTCTAGTTAAACTATTTTTGATACTAAATGATGATCATTATTTCATAATTTACTGTACAATATAAATGTTTTATATTACTGTATAATATAAAATATATCAATGTAAATACAATATATCTATATATATACAATATATCAATACAATATAAAATATATCAATAATTATCATAATTATAATTATATATCATTTTGACATTAAAAAAAGAATTACCCCCAATTTGTATGACAATAGCATGTAAATCAGGAAGAGCACACTCAGACTTAAATGTTTTCTAATCCTTGAATTTTTCGGGATTATGGCATTGCTTAAACATTGACTCTACATTTAAAATTCATGGCAACATTTCAAGAGGACCTATTTAAATAAAATAGTCAAAGTCAAGAAAAATGGAGTTTGAAAAAGCAACCCTCAATTCATCAAAGCAAGAGAAGAAGAGAGGAAAACAAGCATAGCAAAAGTAGGACAGATAGAAACCAAAAAAATATACCAGAAACACATCCAGATATTTTAATAATCACAATAAACTAAAATAAACTAAATGTACTACTTTCTAACTGGTTTTGTGCTTCCAGTCTCTTCTTGCTCCCACATCCAATATACTTTTGTCAAATTAATTTTCTTAAAATATTCATTTCTTCATGCCACTTTACTGACCTAATTTGATTCTTACATCCTATTTTCAAGATAAATTATAAGCTCCTTAGCCTGCTGTTGGAAGTCTTTCATTCTGTTATTCCAATCTACCCATATAATCTCTATACCACACCTCTGTTCTCTCTAGCCAAATAAGAGGCTTCACCTTTGCTCATATTGCAGTGTCTTTACTCTGCTAAGCCTGTGGATGTATAAAATATTTAAAATAACCAGTGAAAGAGAAAGTGATTGTTGTCATCCAGGGTTTTGTAGTTTAGTGGGGCAAACATTAAACCCCAAACAACACAGTCTGATTAAATATATGGGTGACATATAAGGTACCATCAGTATTATAAAAGATCTGTGTGTGTATGTGTGCGTGTGTGTGTGTGTGTGTGTGCGTGACAGAGGAAAAAAGGTGAGGACTCTTGCTGTATGAAGGAGTCAGACAGACAAGTCCTCATGGTAGCTATAATCTGCCTTTTGATTAATATCTGATAAAGTGTTTTTTTCTCTCGCCTTATGCCAACTTTATGCAGATTTCTGCACAACCAATGCCAAGTATCCTCTGAAAACAGAGGCCTTTGTCATTTTGTCTTTATACCACTAAAATCTGATGTTGAGATTTGGGTTTGGAAGGCTTAATGACTTTAAGAAAATTAAGCTAGTGCTACCTAGGAGGTAGGAGGTAAGAAATTTATTATTCCTCAATCCATGGTATGAACAAAATATATAAATATGATGCTTTTGGCAGGTACTTTAATGTCTACTTTTAAAATTGAATTTCAATTTTAATTACAAAAGAAATGATGGGGCAACCCTAGTGTCTTCTTTCATCTCACGCTAAAGATGAAGCCTGTCATCATTTCACTGAAGTACTTGACACTCTGGAGGAGTAACCAGAGATGATAATTCTGTTTTTCAATGTTAAAAATACCACATCATTTCATTGTCATAGGGCTCATTCATTTCCCAAGCACTTTTTGATAAATCACTGCATCTGTTCCTACTTGCTCATCCCACATATATCATGGTCCTAAGGGCTTCTGTACCTGGAATACTGCAACAGCCTCTCTTTCCTTCCTTCTTCTTGCCCACATATTCCCAACTGTAATTCTACACTGGAGTCACCTAGGGGGCTTTCAAAAGACACTGAGAACTGGACCCCAATTCAGACCTTAATTAATTCACAACCCCAGAGGATGGGGATCAAATGTTATTTATTTATTTATTCATTTTTCTTTTTACATTCCTCAGGTGACTCTAAAGGGGAGCCAGTTCTAACCACTGTCCTAACTTCTTACCTAATTACTGTATCCTAAATTCTACTATTATATTCATCCTTCTGGACCTCTGTTCTGTTTACCTCATCAATTGACCATTCTGCAGCTCTTAAAACTCCTTTCCCTATGAATGTCTGAAATATAATATTCCTTTCTAGTTCTTTGTTTCTTGATGCTCGATCATCTCAGTTTCCCAAAATATATTCCCTGTCACTAATTTTGCAAAAAATGTCTCTCGTTGTGTAAGCCAGACCCTATTGGTTATTATTCATTCCCTTACTTCTTCATCACCTGTATTCAATGAATCGTATGTTGATTTTACTTCCAAAATAACTTTTAAGTCCATCATCTGTTTTCATCTCTACCTTCTATCTGCCAGCCTTCTTGGGCATGGACTACTGACATAAACTGAGATGGTCTCTCAACTCCTTTTCTTTTCCTGCAGTTGATTCTCCACACAATCACCAATGAAACTACTGTGAAACAAAATCTCTCATCATATAACTCTCGTTAATGTTTTCTTATTGCTTTTGAGAAATCATTGCAGTGCCCTCATTAAAGTCTGTATGGTCTGACCTCTAACAAATTCACCCAAAGGGCAAATTCCTCTTTGGGTGTTTCATACCTTTGACCAACATCTTCCAGCTTTCTTGTGCTTCCTCACACATGTTGCTTCCCTCTTCTCTTTGTCCTTAGGAAAATTCCTACTCATTCTTCAGAAATTAGCTTGAACATAATTTTCTCAAGACCAGGTCACGGCTGTCTGTTTTATGCTCCCATGATAACCTGTCTTTCTTAATTGCACTTTCCACATTTTCAAGTAAATCACTATTTTGTTGTCTAACATCTGCTTCTCCCATTAGATTATAAACTTCATAAAGTTAAGGATGGTGTCTGTCTCTTTCACTTACCATTTTATTACCATGTTTATCATAGTACTTGGCACATAAAAGATGCTCAGTGACTGATGCTGAATAGCTGAATGAATGCATGCATGCATTAGCAGAGAAGCTTTGCAGAGCCAGAAGAGTTGCAGTGTTCATTTTCAAGCACTCAAACATTCTCTCTATTTCAGGGAGGATTAAAAGCAGTGGTGTGGACAGATGCATTTCAGATGGTTGTCATGATTGTGGGCTTCTTAACGGTTCTCATTCAAGGATCAACTCATGTTGGGGGATTCCACAATGTATTAGAGCAATCAGCAAATGGATCCCGACTACATATATTTGAGTATGTCCAATGCAATTTTTTCATACTTTACAAAGATTTAGCCACATGACCTTATCAACTAAAATCTGCATCAGGGAATACCTTTGTTCACTCATTTCTCTCTGTCTCATAGCTTTGATGTAGATCCTCTCAGGCGACACACTTTTTGGACTATCACAGTGGGAGGAACTTTTACATGGCTTGGAATCTATGGGGTCAATCAATCAACTATCCAGCGATGCATCTCTTGCAAAACAGAAAAGCATGCTAAGCTGTAAGTTCTCAATCAAGAAAAATTGTTATGTTTTATCTTACCTTATGGGTACTTATTATATATTAATACTTCCTCTTGGGGTGTGTGTGTGTGTGTGTGTATGTGTAAGAGAGAGGCAGAGACTCTTTCAACTTTTTGAACCTAGCATTACTACTCTTATCTCAGCAGGAAGTGGCAGAGCTAGGGTGTAAACTGAAGTCTGTTTGCCTTTTCTCTCAATTATTTGCTGCCTTCATTTATTGAGAAATTACTAGATTAGATTAGGCACTGTGGGTGGCAATGCAAAGGTAAATAGCTCACATTTCCTCCTCACTTGATTTAGCATGTGGTCTCTTCAACTATTATTTTTCTTTTCATTGGTTAAAAGGTAAACGGAGGTGCAATTAAATTTTTAAAGAGTTTATTTGTGTGAGCAGTGATTTATGAATTAAGCAGCTACCAAATAGAAGTAGCTCAGGGCTTCCATTGAGGGAACACAAGGGGAAAAATTACAGGATAAATGTGGAAGTAGAGAATATTTGACTGGTTACGGCTGTACAGTTGTCTTACCTGGTCTATCCTCTTGGAAATTTCTTAGTTAGATATCTATAAGTTAGCTTGTGGCTTCTGATTAGTTAGCATTAAGTTTTTTTCTTTTTCTTTGATAGGCATTTACCAGAATTAGCCAAAGTTAAGCTTCATTTATATTTGCAAACGTTAAGCTTACTTAACAGATGTTTGTACTCTTACAGTTTCCAATGAGAGGTTAAAAAAATAAGAAAAACTGGGGTAATGTGGCAAGCCACAATGGGACCTCAGCTGCTCTGACTCTTTCCTGGTTTGCTTGCTCTGAAGAGACACAGGCAGGGTCACAGCATCCATCATTTTCCAAGCCCTGCAAACTACCCCATGCTCCAAAATGGGGACCGAACTTATGTATACACTTTCACAAAACTAGCAGAAATAAGCCAGAACTGCATCCACAATGATTTTTCATCTTCAGTTTTACTTCCCTAGGTTTCAACCTCACCAGCCTAACTTTTCTTAGAGAAACCTTCACTATATTTACCCAGGTAATTTTTAAATAATTTCAATGCACAGTTTCTTATGTTCACTGAATAAAATATAAAATTGCCTGGAAATGATTCAACTACTTTGTAAGTTGAATTCCAAAAGGAGAACTATCATGTTCTCCTTTTATATTTCATAGCTCTCAGAATAAGGAAATAAAAGCATTTTCTGGTATTTCATCAGTTCACTGGTAAACATATTCAAATCTTATTATAATAAATAATATTGTAACAAGCCCTCAATACCTGTGGTTATCTCTTTATCAAATAGCTGTGTTATTGAAAATGTATGTGACTTTGATCTGAAAATTCATTTAAAATTCTTCTCTAGAATAAATTATAGTTGGCTATACCTGTAAAGAGAAGAATTCTTTGGTAAAATAATTGTTATATCTAGTTTTAAAAAATCTTATGAGTTTATGTTATTTTCTTTTATGAATATGCCTAACTTCTTTATGTTACTACCTGTAGTTAGGCAATATGTCTTTTTAATCATTTTTCCCCACAAGACCAAGAACAATGCTTTGCACATAATTTTCTCACCTTCAGGATTGCCATTGCTGATTCTACTCATCCCCACTCCCATGAAGGGATCAGGACTGTGATAGTAATTTTGTGAGAATAATGAAAGATGAAACATAAAATTCTCTTTAGAAAAGAGTTCTCTGAGAGAATCTTAGGTTAATAAAATAGAGTTAATAAAATTCAGAAGAGAGACATCGATTCAGATGTTCTATACGGTTGCAGTACACAGAGCTGGAGAGGAGATTTCTGTGGTGGAGAAATGGTGAGGGCTCCCATCTGTCACACAGCAGGAGCTTTGGGCACTCTGGGGACACTCAGAGTCAGCTGCTGACTGACTCTCACCTAGGGTCTGGAGATGCTGATTAGATGTTCTGCTTTTGTTCCATTATCTGAGAGCCTAATGTAATTAAAACATTCCATGGGGCTTAGAAAATGTCTCTGGTACTTGAGGAAAATACATCCTGCAAAATAGGGAGGTAAAAATAGATCCATAAAGTTTACACTGAAGGTGGGATAGAATCAGGAGTGGCTCATATACATACATTTGGTTTCATGACTAGAAATGTGATTACTCACCAAAGACAACTTAATCTTAAGCCAAATCTTTCTTGCATCTAGAAATAGTATCACTTACCGAGACAATTACATGTGCTTCCTGGAAGCTGACTGTTTCTGTTTCTAAACCTTTGTTTATCTTTCAGGTCTGCTGGTAGCAAATGGTGCTACCTCTGCAGATGAGCACCTCTGCATACAGTTGCTTTTCCATTTCCATTTCCTTAGTTTATTTTCCTCATATCTCTATCAGATCTAAAATGATCTTATTTATTTATTTTATTTCAGTGTTCATTACCTGCTTCTAATCCCAAAATGTATTCTCCACGAGGTTGGCTTCTGCATTGCTTCCTGCTGTGGCCACAGTACCTAGAACAGGGCCTGCCTGGTACAGAGTTGCCCAATAAATATTTTTGAATGGATCAATGAAAAAGCCTACTTTACAAACAGAAGAATTAGTCCTATATAGAACCAAAGTCCACTTCAAATGAGAAATAATTCAAAATATAATGACTTTAATGTTATATTGCCACTAGTTTCTCATTTCCCATAATTGACTGATGAAGTTATAAAATTGTTTTGGGTAATATATGACTGTCCTCTTTATGGCTATATAACCTCCACATATCTTTACAAAGTGTAACTCATTAAATTCTCACATTCCTATAATAAAAAGTAAGGCAGTTATATTCTTTTTACAGATGATATAATTGACTCAGAGTGTTATGTGACTTTTCTAAAGTCACACAGCTATTAAGGATAAAGACTTTTAACTCCAGGTCCAATGGTATTTTTAAAAAAGAAATAGTGTAAAAAATGCAATCATATAGTAATGAATTTCTACCATTAATTTCTTCAATCATTTCATTATTTCTTACCAAAAAAAAATTTATATTTGCTATATGCTCAAACTGTTCAGTGCTCTGCAAACACAAGATGATAATACATGAATAAATATAGAATTTCAGATCATTAATACTATAGTGACATAAGTAATTATAGTAGAAACTGACAAGACAGCAGGAAGTGTCTAAGTAACTGTTACGAAGAAGAATGAACAGGAAAGCCTCTCCAGCTGGACAGAGCAAAGGCTTGAATAGAGTTGGCCTGAATGTTGGAGACAGCAGGAGTACAACTAATTCAATTATAGGTATTGCACATTTTATGTAGCAATTGTATTCCCAAAGCCCACCAAGAATAACAAATAAACACATAAAAATCATAGATAAGCATTGGCAAAATGCTTTCAAGGAAGTATCCTTTGAGGTAAAACCTTGTTCTAAACTGTGAAGTGAAAACTTCTCTAAATAAGATAATATCTGGCATATTTGCCTTATAAATGTGGGCTTGATTTAAGGGTCTTCTGAAAGTCAAGTATCCCTGTACAGTATAGGTTTTAGGGGACTTTGAAATAAATGTGTGTCCTTCCATTTAAATATGATTCCCTTCAAACAATTACTAGATCTTAGACAATGTTCAGTGTTGCTCACTTGGCCCCCTGAGGCTCTCTCCACAGTGAGGTTGTTTATTCTCTCAGACCAAGGTAAGGCCAGCCTACTTTCATGTCCTCTCTGGAATTGAGGAAATTAGTAAAATTTCAACTTTCAAAGGACAATAATGAATATAACATAACCACAGGATACTATAAAAGTACCCATGCTGGAAATAGATATATCTGTCTGTTTTAAAACAAAATGAATTGCACCAAATAATATGGGTAAGATGATCCTAGTTTTTCACACTTCCTGTTGTCTTTTTAAAAAATAAATTTTAACTTTTATCTGTATTAATCTCCAAAGTGAATATTTCCAACGCTTATCTATTTCTATATTAGCTCATTATCTCTCTGGAAAAAAGAGATGTTAAAAATGCAAGTTGACTTTTTGACAGTTTTATGAATTGAGTAGGGGGAAAAAAATCACTTGAAGTTATATAATATGAGTGATTGGTATGTGAAATTTCGTCGAAGAGAATAGATCTCATACCACACATATTGAAGCTTTGCAGAAAACTCCTGATTTCAAAGGAAAATTCACTTAAAATGTTACTTTATTTAAATTTGGTAATGAGCCTAAAAATGTAATGTTCTCAAGCAAAAAATATTGCAAAAGTATAAAGTGTAATGATTCATAAAGGCGATAGAATTTTATTTTACTAGGAAAAAGGCCCAAAACCCTTTACCTCGAGTACTTGGTAATGACCTCATCACACTATGATATGGTATGCAGGTTACCAATAGGCCCATGTGCTCTTTTCTAGTGCCTTGTACTTTAACTTGTTGGGTCTCTGGATCATTCTGGTGTGTGCTGTCTTCTCTGGCTTAATCATGTACTCTCACTTCAAAGACTGTGACCCTTGGACTTCTGGCATCATCTCAGCACCGGACCAGGTATGGATTTTCTTGAGGACAGTGGGCAATGTCTGGAATGGGCATGCTTCTGGCCATTGGTGGGTAATGTTGGCCTTTCTCTTTTTCTGCCTGGACTTCTCCCTATTTCTCAAACCCCAAGAAGTTGGCTTCTTTCTTCTCTTGGGTGATATCAGCACCTACCAGGTTCTAATACAGAGAAGTGAGAATGTAAAAAAGAGGGCCCTTCACCTTGTTCCTGAAGACAAGGTCTGCCAGCATAGCAAGGCTGGAGAGAATGGAATGCAGGCTTGAACCATGCATGGATGTTGCTGTTCCCTTTGGACTTTTCCTACAGGTTTCACAGTTGATTAAGGAACCTCAGATTGAACAAAATGACCCTTATCTCCACAATGCCTGCCTCTTATCATGTCTTCTCAGCATAACTTAAACATCATGCTGATATATGACAGTAAACATGGTTTTACAAACTCCGTTTATGGAGAATATGCCCAAGAGAAGCAATCATTTGCCTTCTCTCCATATATATATATATATATTTAACTGTCCTGCTCTGTCAAAGAGGGGCTCCTCCGCTGCAAACCTGGATGTAGAGTAGAGCATCATACATAGATTTCCTGAAGACTTCTTTTATGGATTTGATTTTAGGGCATAGTTGCTAACATCAGGATAAACAGGAAAGAAAATGGCATACATTGAAAAGAAGGAAAATAAACTTTCTATTTCCTTTGGCTAAAAAGCTATTTCCCACATTTCAAACACTGCCGAGAAGACCACTAATGCTATTTTTTGTCTCTCTTTTCTTTTCTTTCTTTCTTCTTTTTATTTTTTGCCTCCTCTTCAGCTGATGCCATACTTTGTCATGGAAATATTTGACACAATGCCAGGACTGCCAGGACTTTTTGTGGCTTGTGCCTTCAGTGGAACTCTAAGGTTAGTATCATCAACAACAATCTGATGATGGTGATAATTATGGGAAGGATGACAAGGATGATGGTGTAGTGATCAACAGTATTTAGCAAGCACTCACTGTGTGTAAACTGCCCTGCTGAATGTGTTATTTATATTTGCTCATTAATTGTCACACAACATAGGAGGCTAGAATTTTACTCATCATCAGTGTACAGATAAGGAAACTGAGATTTAGCAGGATAGAAAAATTACCCATGGTGAGTTAGTAAACTGCAGGGGCTGAATGTAAGCCTTGGTCTGTCCGTTTTCAAGACTTTTATGCTCATTATTTTACCTTGTCTGACACTAACTGCCCCCACAATTTCATATCACCTTTATATAAAGCAGCTCACTCTGCTGGCTCTTTTCGTTCATTCCGATACAATATATATAATCATGTGCCATGTGACATTTCAGTCAATGAGGGACTGCATCTATGATGGTGGCCCCATATTTTAATACCATATTTTTTTATCATACCTTTCCTATGTTTCAGTACACAAATGCTTTGCCATTGTGTTACAATTGCCTACGGTATTTAGAACAGTAACATTCTGTACAGGTTTGTAACCTGGGAGCAATAGGCTATACCATATACCCTAGGTGTACAGCAGGCAATGCCATCTAGGTTTATGTAAGTACATTATGATGTTTGCACAATGGTGAAATCACCTAACAATGCATTTTCTCAGAGCATAGCCTGTCGTTAAGCTATACATCACTATATATTCCACACATCTAGTCTTTGCATTCCATTCATCTCATCTTTCATAATACACTCAGACAACTAATAACTTCCATTCCCCAAATAAAAGCATTATTCTAAACATAAAATCGTTCATGCATTTATTGTGACAAATATTTTAGAAGGCTTATATTATAGCAGACACAGTTGGTGACATTAAGAATATTACAGTGAACAAGACTGATACAAGCAATAAGCGTTGTCCTTATATAGAGTTTGCTTTCTAACAGACATGGCAGATGACCAATATGTAAGTAAAAACAATAAACAAGATTTTGTCTGAAAATAACAAATAGTATCAAGGAAATAACAGTGTGTATCCTAAAGAGAGGTGAGTGTTCTAATTTTGACAGTCTTTAAGGAATTCCTTTCTGAGTATATGATATTTTTACTGAAATCTAAAGAATGCAGAAAAGCCAGCTTATGTGAAGAGCACAAGCAGGAACATTTAGAGGCAGGAGGAAAAGCAAATACTAAAGCCCTGGGGAGACAAACTGTCTGCAGTGTTTGAGGAATAGAGGAAGCATTGGCATCTAAGGCCCTGGGAGAAGAGCAGGTGGGGATGAGTTAGAAGTGAGCAAGAATCAGATCATGATGAGCCTGCAGTGGTAGAGTTTGCATTTCAAGTGGAATGGGAAGTCATTAGAAGGTTTGAAACCAAGGGAGTGAGTGACATACAAGTTGAAGACTTCCTGTGTCAGGAACATTTGAGCTCTCCTTTTAATATATAAGAAAAATAGCCAATTGACCTAGGTTAAGGACTTTTCTTTTCTTATTTGTTCATTGTCTGTTTACTTTATTAACACCATTTTGAGCACATAAAGATTTTAATTCATGTTAATGTTTTACACAGTGATTTCAGGGTTAACATCATTCTCAGAAAGGTTTCTCCATTCTATGATTGTAAATAATCATCCAGACACCATTCTAGGATACTTATGGTTTTATTAAATATTAAAGTTATTACATTATCTAGACTGTACATGTGATATAAGAAATTAAGTGAAGTTCCTGCTTTATTTTCCTTGTAAACTAGTAACCAAGTTGTCCTATTTATCTTTAATAAGTAGGCCACCTTTTTACCATTGATTTGAAATATTACTTTTATTATATTCTATATTTTTCTATGTATTTGAGGCCTCTTCTTAATTTTCTTTTACATTATTTTGATCTATTGGTCTTTAGCTATGCCAACACCAATAATTTTGATGACTGTGCTTTAAAATATAATTTATCTATTAGGCTGATACCTTCGTTAATTTTATTTTACAGAATTGTTCTGATATCTAGGGGCTTTAAAAATATTTTTAGTTGATACTTTGGGGTTTGATTGTAATCAAATATCTGCAAATACTCTTGACTTTTTTTCTTTCTTTTTCATAGACATACTCCTATGTTTATTCTCTTATGTAATGGTGCTTTGAGAACACTGATAAATAATTAGGGTAATAGCAGAAATCCTTGTTTTATTATGTACTTTAAAGGGAATATTTCTTTGGTTTTACTATTTAATAAGATATTGACTTTTGGTTTGAAAGGTATTATTTATACTTGAAAATATTCACATAAATTACTTAAAAAGTAGAAGAATGAAATGCATATATTTATGGTAATTTTAGAAAATATGTTTATCTGAGAGGTATTTGTGGTACAATTTTAGCATTTTTGAATGGCTATATATATTTGCTTTTTAAAAACTTTTAGCAGGTTAATATGTTGACAGATTTCCAAAATAGCGATATCCTTGAATTTATATAATGACTTTACCTTGTGATTTAAATTTAGTGTACTGCTGATTGGTTTTACTAAAATTGTTTTTAGAATTATGCATCAATAGCAAACAGTGACAGTGTCCTGTGGTATTAGGATCTCAAGGAAACTAAGGACAGAGGTAGTGAGCACCAGAGGATCAAACACCAGTAAGGGTTACACTTTGTCTTGTCTTTTCCCTCTCTGCATGCTTTATTGTTTATCTTACTCTGAGGCTGACTCTCTCCAGACTGGAGAAATATGGCTGTTAACAGATTAAATCCCCCATGAAAGAATAGTTGACGCCTTTATTGCAAGTCCAAAATTTTCAAGGAAGAAACACACTGGACAACATATGTTCTAGGGAGACTACTACTGCTATAACTACAAGGAGACTGTGGAGATAGAGAAAGAAAAAGACAGGAGTGGGAATAGAATGGGGGAGATGGTGGTTGCAAGGCGAGGGAAAAAATAGATTTTTGCTATCTTGTAGCAGCTTTAGAATCTGAGAATTGACATATGGATACACCTGACTGCCAAAGCAAACCTGCAGAGATTCTGCAAACATCCTTCTGGGCCAAATTCAACTTTCTGCTCGCTCCCACCCAATGGATTCAAAGATTAACCTTGATGTTGGAAACTTTCACAAGATGTGCATTGAGACAAAGATTTGGGGATCATAAAAAGTCCTTTTATTTAATCCCCTTCTCTCCTTATTCAACTTTTATGGATCTCCAGATAGAAGAGGAGTCTGGCAGGGAATACATGACATGCTTTGATTCTTAGATAATAAGAATAGTGCCCTCAAAGCACTTATTTCGGATATGGGTTTTGGACAGTTTTTACTGTCCAAAAGTCATAGCTATAGCTTGTTTTCAAGTGAGCACTGGAGGATAACAGAATAATTTTTTATGAATATCAATGGAAAACTTACAGATTGCTAACCATGCTTTGTTCATTGGCCTGTTCGTTTTCCAGAATGTTTTTTCATAGTTGTGATTTTGCATCACTTGAATTGAATATATTATCTATTCCAATAGCTAAAATATTCCTGGTCTGTAGGAGGAATTAAAGAAATTCTGCAAAGAAAACCCCAACATTCAGGTACTCTGTCACCTAAGCAAGTTTTAGGTTCAGTAAGATTGAGCTCTGATTGAAAAGTGAGAGGGAATATCAGAGGTTGTATGCAGTTTCGATTTGTGACTACTTCCCAGACTTACCTTTAGCCACTCTCTTTTACTATTGTAATATCATTCTAGCAACTCTGGTAGCTTCAGGTTGTTGAATGTAACAGCTCCTTTTTGTGTTGAGATACCTATCTGTAATTTTTCCTTCATCCTAGAACATCTTTTTTTTTTTTCCCCTCACCATGCAGGGACCCTCCCAGTGCCTGTCCCTTCCTAAGGAAAGAATTTCCTAACTACGTATCAGTTTAGGTCTCTGTATGCTCTTATAGCACCTTGCTATTTCCTTTCATAAAAATTTCACAACTATAAGCAGGTATATATTGGTTGTTAAATGTTTGTGTACCAGTTAGAGTGCAAGATCTACATCTTTCTGGTTCACCATTGTATGACTGATACCCGGAATGAATAAAAGGATGTATAAATAAATGAATGAATAATTAATGAGTGGCAGGCTTTACTGAGTCCTGGGTTAGGGTAGTCACTACTTTCTGCCTCTACTCCAACCTAAACATACATATAGACACACATGAAAACAGTAGCACAAAAAAGATTTGAAAGATGAATAAAGAGGCCATAGTTCCCATGGAGTCTCAGAAGATGGAGATATGTCTACCTCTGTTTTTCCTAGAGCCCTGCCTTTTCTATCTGCCCTGGACAAGAGGGCAGGCTGGTAGCTCTGCCTTATTTAGCTTAGACTGTGTTCTCACTTTTCTTTCCTTACAGCACCGTGGCTGCCAGCATCAATGCCTTGGCAACAGTGACCTTTGAGGATTTTGTCAAGAGCTGTTTTCCCCATCTCTCCGACAAGCTGAGCACCTGGATCAGTAAAGGCTTATGTAGGTACAGCTGGTGGACCTCCCATTCCATATCGTGAAATATACATGTGGTATATGTCAAAATCCTGCATGTGCTATTTAGGACACACTTATAAACACAAATGCACAGTGAGATATGTGAAGAATCCCACATGTAGACTCTTACACTCCTGAAGATCCAGCAGAGTGACATGCTAGTTTACCTTAACTGACCTTATTTTCAGATACTCTTCTATACTCACCCTACACTCTAGACCAGGCTTGTCCAACCAACAGCCCATGGGCCACATGCAGCCCAGAACAGCTTTGAATGTGGCCCAACACAAATTTGTAAACTTTCTTAAAACATTGTTGTTTTTTTTTGGTAATTTTTTAATCTTATTGGCTATCATTAGTGCTAGCGTATTTTATGTGTAGTGCAAGACAATACCTTCTTTCAATGTGGCTCAGGGAGGCCAAAAGATTGGACACTACTGCAGACTTATTACGTCAATATCTCTTGATTATGCTGTGCGATGGTCATATTAGTCTCTCTACATGGGAAGATGTTCTGCTCACTATGGCCAGTCACTTTGACAAGAAAAACCAAATTCTTTTCTAAAGAATCATTCCTTATTACCAAACTCCCAGTAACCCCTCAAAGAATAATTGTTCATTTCTTAATCATGCAATTGCATATTATGTTTATAATCACTTAAGCACTTATAAGAGTGAATTGCAGTTTCACACCGTTTACTTTTTTAAAGTAAAAACAAATTGTATATTTAATTACTAATAGAAAATGTAGGTAATTTGGGAAAATTTATGTACCTTGTTAAATGAAATTACATCTATCTAACTTTGTTCCTGGTTGTTTTTCCCTGACATACTTGTGACATACACAATAACATATTGTTTTATTTTGTATTTTTTAAAACATGGTATTTGAATGACTGAACAAGTATTAAACCTTCTACTATATTTGTATTGTTTTTCCTTAACACAAACTTCTAAAAGAAAATTACCAGGTTAAATAATACAAATTCACTGATATTTCTTGGTACGTATTATGAAATCTGGTTCTAGCAGGATTGAATCAATAATGATATATAGCAGCAGTGAGTTTTGATATATTTTTTGGTGTGCTTAATATTAGCATTTTTTTAATTGTATTTGGGATCTGGGGTACATGTACACATCCTGTATCCTGCAAGATTGTTGCTTTGCTTAGGTACATACATGCCATGGTGGTTTGCTGTCTTCATCCCCGCCCCGCCCCCCATGCCATCGCCTACATCAGGCATTTCTCCCGGAGTTATTCCTCCCCATCCTCCCCATGCCCCCTCGCTGTCCCTTCCCTTGCCTCTACTCCCCCACCTAGCACTGTGAGTATTGTTCCTGTGCCCAAGTGTTTTCATTGTTCATCACTCGCCTATGAGTGAAAACATGTGGTGTTTAGTTTTCTGTTCTTGTGTCAGTTTGCTGAGAATGTGGTTTCTAGATTCATCCATGTCTCTACAAAGGACACGAACTAGTCATTTTTTATGGCTACATACTATTCCATGGTGTATATGTGCCACATTTTCCCTGTCCAGTCTATCATCGATCGGCATTGGGTTGGTTCCAGGTCTTTGCTATTGTAAACAGTTCCAAAATGAAAATATGTGTGCATGTGTCTTTATAATAGAGTGATTTATAATCCTTTTGGTATATACCCAGTAATAGGATTGCTGGATCAAATGGAATTTCTATTTCTAGATCCCTGAGGAATTGTCACACTGTCTTCCATAATGGTTGAACTAATTTACACTCCCACCAACAGTGTAAAAGTGTTCCCTTTTCTCCACATCCTCTCCAGCATCTGTTGTCNATCTAGGTTTATGTAAGTACATTATGATGTTTGCACAATGGTGAAATCACCTAACAATGCATTTTCTCAGAGCATAGCCTGTCGTTAAGCTATACTAGTCTTTGCATTCCATTCATCTCATCTTTCATAATACACTCAGACAACTAATAACTTCCATTCCCCAAATAAAAGCATTATTCTAAACATAAAATCGTTCATGCATTTATTGTGACAAATATTTTAGAAGGCTTATATTATAGCAGACACAGTTGGTGACATTAAGAATATTACAGTGAACAAGACTGATACAAGCAATAAGCGTTGTCCTTATATAGAGTTTGCTTTCTAACAGACATGGCAGATGACCAATATGTAAGTAAAAACAATAAACAAGATTTTGTCTGAAAATAACAAATAGTATCAAGGAAATAACAGTGTGTATCCTAAAGAGAGGTGAGTGTTCTAATTTTGACAGTCTTTAAGGAATTCCTTTCTGAGTATATGATATTTTTACTGAAATCTAAAGAATGCAGAAAAGCCAGCTTATGTGAAGAGCACAAGCAGGAACATTTAGAGGCAGGAGGAAAAGCAAATACTAAAGCCCTGGGGAGACAAACTGTCTGCAGTGTTTGAGGAATAGAGGAAGCATTGGCATCTAAGGCCCTGGGAGAAGAGCAGGTGGGGATGAGTTAGAAGTGAGCAAGAATCAGATCATGATGAGCCTGCAGTGGTAGAGTTTGCATTTCAAGTGGAATGGGAAGTCATTAGAAGGTTTGAAACCAAGGGAGTGAGTGACATACAAGTTGAAGACTTCCTGTGTCAGGAACATTTGAGCTCTCCTTTTAATATATAAGAAAAATAGCCAATTGACCTAGGTTAAGGACTTTTCTTTTCTTATTTGTTCATTGTCTGTTTACTTTATTAACACCATTTTGAGCACATAAAGATTTTAATTCATGTTAATGTTTTACACAGTGATTTCAGGGTTAACATCATTCTCAGAAAGGTTTCTCCATTCTATGATTGTAAATAATCATCCAGACACCATTCTAGGATACTTATGGTTTTATTAAATATTAAAGTTATTACATTATCTAGACTGTACATGTGATATAAGAAATTAAGTGAAGTTCCTGCTTTATTTTCCTTGTAAACTAGTAACCAAGTTGTCCTATTTATCTTTAATAAGTAGGCCACCTTTTTACCATTGATTTGAAATATTACTTTTATTATATTCTATATTTTTCTATGTATTTGAGGCCTCTTCTTAATTTTCTTTTACATTATTTTGATCTATTGGTCTTTAGCTATGCCAACACCAATAATTTTGATGACTGTGCTTTAAAATATAATTTATCTATTAGGCTGATACCTTCGTTAATTTTATTTTACAGAATTGTTCTGATATCTAGGGGCTTTAAAAATATTTTTAGTTGATACTTTGGGGTTTGATTGTAATCAAATATCTGCAAATACTCTTGACTTTTTTTCTTTCTTTTTCATAGACATACTCCTATGTTTATTCTCTTATGTAATGGTGCTTTGAGAACACTGATAAATAATTAGGGTAATAGCAGAAATCCTTGTTTTATTATGTACTTTAAAGGGAATATTTCTTTGGTTTTACTATTTAATAAGATATTGACTTTTGGTTTGAAAGGTATTATTTATACTTGAAAATATTCACATAAATTACTTAAAAAGTAGAAGAATGAAATGCATATATTTATGGTAATTTTAGAAAATATGTTTATCTGAGAGGTATTTGTGGTACAATTTTAGCATTTTTGAATGGCTATATATATTTGCTTTTTAAAAACTTTTAGCAGGTTAATATGTTGACAGATTTCCAAAATAGCGATATCCTTGAATTTATATAATGACTTTACCTTGTGATTTAAATTTAGTGTACTGCTGATTGGTTTTACTAAAATTGTTTTTAGAATTATGCATCAATAGCAAACAGTGACAGTGTCCTGTGGTATTAGGATCTCAAGGAAACTAAGGACAGAGGTAGTGAGCACCAGAGGATCAAACACCAGTAAGGGTTACACTTTGTCTTGTCTTTTCCCTCTCTGCATGCTTTATTGTTTATCTTACTCTGAGGCTGACTCTCTCCAGACTGGAGAAATATGGCTGTTAACAGATTAAATCCCCCATGAAAGAATAGTTGATGCCTTTATTGCAAGTCCAAAATTTTCAAGGAAGAAACACACTGGACAACATATGTTCTAGGGAGACTACTACTGCTATAACTACAAGGAGACTGTGGAGATAGAGAAAGAAAAAGACAGGAGTGGGAATAGAATGGGGGAGATGGTGGTTGCAAGGCGAGGGAAAAAATAGATTTTTGCTATCTTGTAGCAGCTTTAGAATCTGAGAATTGACATATGGATACACCTGACTGCCAAAGCAAACCTGCAGAGATTCTGCAAACATCCTTCTGGGCCAAATTCAACTTTCTGCTCGCTCCCACCCAATGGATTCAAAGATTAACCTTGATGTTGGAAACTTTCACAAGATGTGCATTGAGACAAAGATTTGGGGATCATAAAAAGTCCTTTTATTTAATCCCCTTCTCTCCTTATTCAACTTTTATGGATCTCCAGATAGAAGAGGAGTCTGGCAGGGAATACATGACATGCTTTGATTCTTAGATAATAAGAATAGTGCCCTCAAAGCACTTATTTCGGATATGGGTTTTGGACAGTTTTTACTGTCCAAAAGTCATAGCTATAGCTTGTTTTCAAGTGAGCACTGGAGGATAACAGAATAATTTTTTATGAATATCAATGGAAAACTTACAGATTGCTAACCATGCTTTGTTCATTGGCCTGTTCGTTTTCCAGAATGTTTTTTCATAGTTGTGATTTTGCATCACTTGAATTGAATATATTATCTATTCCAATAGCTAAAATATTCCTGGTCTGTAGGAGGAATTAAAGAAATTCTGCAAAGAAAACCCCAACATTCAGGTACTCTGTCACCTAAGCAAGTTTTAGGTTCAGTAAGATTGAGCTCTGATTGAAAAGTGAGAGGGAATATCAGAGGTTGTATGCAGTTTCGATTTGTGACTACTTCCCAGACTTACCTTTAGCCACTCTCTTTTACTATTGTAATATCATTCTAGCAACTCTGGTAGCTTCAGGTTGTTGAATGTAACAGCTCCTTTTTGTGTTGAGATACCTATCTG